GCTAAAAGTCCCAGTCTGCAAACTACAGCTAAAAGCTAACATAATTTTTGTTATATCTAATTTGTGTGACGCAAATTAATTAAAATTGAATAATTAAAATGGAAATGTAGTCCTAAAATGCGCATTCATTGAAAATTTGTTTTATATAATAAGTTCTGCAAAAGAAAATCGCGTTAAAGGGCTCCTTTTATGTTTTGTATTTTCTTATAAATGTATTATTTTGTTGTTGTTTTAGAAAGTGCACATTCATCAGTTTTAAATTATATCCTTAAATACCAAAATGTTGAGTTGTTTTATTTCATTCCAAATGTAGAGCAAACACAAAATCCAACAATCTGAATAAAAAAAAACAGAACTGTACATACCATACACTGAGAAGACAGCCTCTTGTACCAAATTTATGAATAGTAAAACTACAAATGCACTTTTACAGCATATTAGGAAGCAAAGTTCCTTTTTAAATTCTACAGTAGAAGCTTATTTGATTTATTTATAGCAATGAACCAACCTTTTAATTCGTTTCTTTGGCTTTTCTTGTACCATTTTATTCTTTTTCTGCTACTAGTTCATGTTTTTAAGATTGTCACTGATTCAGTGCAGCTGTTATCAGCTTAAATGAATGAAATGGGAACAATAAAACAGTCTAAAACAGGCAGCCTGGCCCTCATCTGGAAATTATGGCATTAAATCAAACAATTCAATCCAGTTCATGTTGTTAAAAAACAGAAAACTTTAACAAAGAACGATTTGATTGGATGGAAATGTTGAAGGATAACAGCTAAGTTTTAAACAAGTCAGAGTGTTTGCTGTCCATGCAGAGTAAAAATGTGTAAAAAATACCTCCTTCATTAACTGACAACAGAATAACAAATGTTGGAAAACAACCAGAGAAATGTGACAAAGGACACATAGAAGTCAATTTTCCAGATGACACAATAACACTGATAAAGTTGTGATAAACTCGTTTCTTCACAGCTTCAATTTTACGTTTGTATGCAGAAATCTAAAAGGCAAGATTTGAAAATCCAGGAAATGATGGAGCAGGAGAACTCATAAGACAAGAAAAACACAAGAGAAATACAGAAAGCCTTGATTTTTACTTTAGAGAAGTCCGCCCATCTTTCCCTGCTCCTCATTTCCAGGTGGTGTGCAGCTGGTGTCTATCTCCAACGAGGGGCGGGGGACAACATGGACAGGTCCATCACAGGGACACATCGAGACAAACAACCATTCACCCTCTCACCCACATAGGGTTCAATCTAGAGTTGTCACTTAACCTAACCGCATGCTGGTCTGTGGGAGGAAACACACAATTCAAAGTCTTAATGTCAGAAATTCATCACTTTCACTTTTGGCTGCAAACAAAAGAAGAACTTGTGACCTATCAAATCAAAAAAAGGGATTAAGTCAGATTTGGTCCAAATAAAYTTMAGCACATTTYCAGATTCTTGGCTTTTAAGCAACATTTTGATCCTTCGATGCTCGTCTTTCTAATCTGGATGACTCCAGGAAAATCAGTCTGAGGATTTCTCATCATTTGAAACAGAAGACCTCAAATCATAACTAGATATTCAAATTTCCTAACTGGTAAGAGGCAGAAGTATAAGAAAGTTCTGCTTAAAATCTAGGTTAGCTGTTGGAACGGCTCAGAAAAGTACTTGAAAATACACATTAAGATTATATTTTGGACATATTTCCTTCAATAAATTAATCTTATTCTGACAACCGATTATTGCAAAGTTTTCTACAGCTGCCTAATAATTAACTAACCTTTATTTGAGTCCTACAGGTCAACTGAGAACCAGTTCTCATTTACAAAGACGACCTGATGAAGCAGCAACTCAGATAAGATATAAAATAATTAATTGTGTCTTAATCCTTGGTTTGATGTCACAGGGCACAAATTCGAATTTGGCTTTTTAAAAATATATGATTAGTAGTTCCATTCTTGTTTTTTGCGCCATTTTTGCAACAAAACTACTCGTTATCAGCTCATTGCTTGACAAATGTTCTTGAGCTGAGATGTTCCGTATCTTCATTAAAAAAAAACATAACGGGTGAAGCTGAGACAAAAGAGATAATCAGCTGCCTCTCTCCTTGTAAGTCAGAGGTTATTAAAGTACCAACAGAGGGTTTGTTCAGATCTGTCATCTGGAACGGTTAAAGACAGGACTGTGTTTACATATTGCTACAAACAAATCTGAACTGCCTCCTTTCAATAGTTTTACCTCAAACCAACCTCAGAGGTGTTCTGCACCTTTTTTTTTGTTTGTTTTTTTACAAATAGCGGTCAGAACATAATCCGTCCTGATGTGAGGCAGAGTGCATGAATCAGGGTTTAAAAAAATACATTAAAAAAGGTTGCTCAGAGCGAGTTTGTTTCATATGTTTGTTTTTTAGGCTAAAAGCTTTAACATGGACATATGCTCATAAATCCTACTTTTTCACATTTAAATCATTTGGTTAAGGTGTACAACGTGGAACTGCAATGCTTTGGTCTAAATAAAAAAGAGAACCTGATGTTGAATTACATTYACAGCACCTCATGGACTTTCATGGGTTAAGATTTTCCATTTTTGCTTTGATGCAGAATTAGTTAAAGAAGCTTATTTAGACGTAAAATTTGCAAAAAGCTATTCAGAACTGTGTTCAAATAATATCACACGTTCTGACAGCTCACTGTGTGTAAATGCACACAGAATACACAAATACAGTAACATCTGATTGTAAAGCTGTTTAAACACAATGGGCCTCATGCAAGAACCGTTCGTACGCACAGATTTGTTCTTAAGTTGTGCGTACGAGTGATTTAGGAGAATTTATAGCATTCACCAATGTT